GTCTCCGCGAGGCTCCCGTGGGCTTGGCGCGCTCCCGTTTCCTCCCATGCCAGGCATCGGTTGGGCGGCGCTGTCACTGGCTGCGCCTGAGCGCTGTCCCATGCCGTCGTGTGCTGTTGGTGTACCGGACGAAATGACGATCGGCTCGTCTGATTGCGCAGGTGCATTTGTTGGTGCTGCTGGGGTGTTCACCGTGGATTGCTGACGCGCGGAGTCACGTTCCGCTGTGAGCGTCGCAATTTCCAACGCCGAATCTTCGAGTTGGCGCACCAGACGGTCGAGCTGCTCCTGCGTCAGTGTGGCAAGCGTGAATTCGGCCATGGCGGGGGTGTCGGGCGAGCTCAGCGAGAGCCTCAGTCGTGGCCGTGCGTGCTTACGAGAGAGCACTACGAGCGGCGGTGCTGTATCACTGAGAGACGTCTACCCCCCCCAAAAATTGAGATAGTGGGGAAGCGAAGGTGTGGGTGCGGTCCGAGAAGAGATCGTAGGCTCTGAATACCAAGTGTTACGAGTGCAATTGAGTGAACGAACGAGAATTGCACTATCGAAGCAAGAGTAGAATCAGCGAAGGCATGAGCGAAGGATTATATAGCGAAACTACAGTGGTAACGGTAATGGACTGTGGTTGTCACGCGACAGGCCTGGGACTGAGGTTGGGAAATGTCGAGGCGGAGGTCCGGAGCGCGGGTTACCCGCCGAGCCGTGAGGTCGGGGTGCGATATGCGAAAGTGGCGGGCGGATTGTCGATGCGAGGGGGGCGAGTGGTAACGGTGCTGACTGTGGTACTACAGTGATGTGCGCATTGAGCAGGGATGCGAAGTAAGGAAAAGAAGATTTTCCTTACAACGCCTACCTATTGCATAGGCTTGGAATGAGCTATGAAGGTAATGTTTGCAAGAACTTCAGAAAGCAATAATATTATTGTTTATTAATAATTTACATGATTCAATTCTTTGTGGCAGTCCAGTTACTCTGGTTACAGCCACCACAACTGCTAACAAAATTTAGGCAGGATGTCTAAACTACATTTGTCTCAGCACGCTGCTCATCCTACGCTGAGCGACCTTGCTGCTCGAACCCGTTATTCGCCGCCGTCCACCGAACCTCCCGATGCCAACAGCAAACCCTGAGGATGCCAGTGTCCTCCTCTCCTCATCCTCCTCATCCACGTAAAGTTGATTCATGTAGCAGACATTCCCTGCCCCATAGGTCGTGTAGCCGCTTCTGCTGCTGTCATCTTCCTCCTCCTCATCCCCATAGAGCTGGTTCCAGTGAGTAACCCCTCCCTCAGCCTTGCCAACCCCCTTCATCTCCACACTCCATCCCTTTCCACTGTTGTGATTGCCTCGCCCAATCCCCCTCTTCACACTCGTTACCTCATTAATCAAGTCAGACTTTGCACTGCAGAGGCTACTGGCAGAGGCACGCACTGCGGCTGCTGCAGCTGCTCTCAGTCTGACTCAGGCTGCACCGCCTGCTGTTTGCCTCTGCACCCATCTCCATACACCGCTCTGCCTCTGCATCCATCATCACCCCTGAGCCCATCATCACACCGTGCTGTGCCTCTGAACCCATCACCACCTCCTCACACGCCTCTGCAACCAGGAACGAAGAAGTTATCACCTCTGAATCCGAGCCCAACCACCATAACTCCTCAGCTGAGCAGATTGAACTCGTTGAACCGAACAGCGCTTCAGCAGAGCAGCAGGTTGCAACAGCCGAGCAGCGGGTTGTAACAGCCGAGCAGCGGGTTGTAACAGCCGAGCAGCGGGTTGCAACAGCCGAGCAGCGGGTTGCAACAGCCGAGCAGCGGGTTGCAACAGCCGAGCAGCGGGTTGCAACAGCCGAGCAGCGGGTTGCAACAGCCGAGCAGCGGGTTGCAACAGCCGAGCAGCGGGTTGCAACAGCCGAGCAGCGGGTTGTGGCGTCCGAGCAGCGAGGTGTAGGAACGATCTCAGTTGACAGAGCAGTTGGTTCAGCGGAGCAAGCAGCAGCTTCCACCAGCTCAGCAGGAACTTCCACAGAGGTAGCAGGGACGTTCACAGGGACAGCAGGGATCTCAACATTGACAGCAGGAGCTTCAACCACGAACAGAGCAGCCTTGGCTGCAACCTGGTTGCTTGAAAAGGTCCATTTGACGTCGACCTGCAAAGATAAAGGTGATCAAAGTTAGTTTCAGCTCAAGATACTAAGATAATTTGTGACAAAAAGGAGGCGTCTGTGCGATGACATACACAAAATCGGAGAGGAGGAGGTAGGATTTTGTTCTTACCAGGCATGGAAGGGAGACCAGGCTGCAGACTAAACGAGTCAGGGAGTCATCCTGCTCCCAGTGACTCGAGAAGAGAGCGTCAACGTCCACGCAGGCACTCGCAGCACCGACGCAGGCCATTTCGTTGACGAATGAAGTAGCGGAAACGGACTGGCCTTAGTGTAGGGATCGAAGGACTTTCAGGGAGCACTCGAGACGATTCAAACAGCAAGTAACCACGGCCTTAGAGTCGACGACGGTAGAAAGACGAAGGCTGATTATAAGAATTCGCAGCAACTGGATCAGTGCTGACTGGTGAATGAGAATACGGACCCCTGCTTGCTTTATAGTTGTCTTGCTGGTGCATCAGTGGCTGCTAGATTCTAAGGGACGGTGGGATGTGCCTGAAACTGGAACGGGGGTGCGACGAAAGTCACGGAGGGGGTGGGAGGTTCGGAACCTCCAAGGGTGTGAGGCTCGGAATCGCCAAGGTGTGAGGCTCGGAATCGCCAAGGGTGTGAGGCACCGATGGCCACGGCTGGGCGAATCCGCATCGCCTGTGGGATCCGCGGCGATCGGTGCCCATGGCGACGTCGTTGGGTGGCCTAAAGCGTTGCATCTCTGTTCGAGGTCAGTCCCGAGCACCGACAATTCGATGCGAGCTCTCTCGATTGTATGAGCGAGGGAGGGGGGTTCTCTGAAGCGTGTGGTGCTCTGAAGTCCGCCGCAATCGGGAGTACCGAGTGCGCGGCTCGAGAAGATTTGAAGGCGGGAAAGAGATAGGTATGCCGAGGGGGCGAGGCTAAAGACAGCAGGTTCGACAAACCGAACCTACAGCCGAACCTACGTGTCAAACTATATTTGTATGTTGGCTTTGTCTAGGCTGTAGTGGGGTAGCACTAGGGGGTACAAAATTTCTCTCGACATTCTCTCTTGTACCCCCCCCTTGACCTAATCGAACCATTCCTTCCTAGCCTAAGTTCTAAGATGGTATCTAGAGCAGTAGGTCTTAGGACCTAAGATTTGAGCCCACCGGTTACCGTGTTACCTCACCTACGGCCTCATTAGCCTTGCCTGCTGCCCGCGCGCGCCTAGGCTGCGCGCGCGCATAGCCTTTTTTTTAGCGCGCGCCACTGCTGCCAGCCGCGTCGCGCCCTATTAGTTGCCCGCGCAGCCCGCCCTGAGCCCGCGCAGCCCGCCCTGAGCCCGCGCAGCCTGCACGCGGCCTGCAGCTGCCCCGCGCACCGCCCGCGCAGCCCGCGTCGAGCCCGCGCAGCCCGCGCCGAGCCAGCGCAGCCCGCGCGCAGCCCGCACAGCCCGTGCGCGGCTCGCGCACTGCCCGAGCAGCCCGCGCCGCGCTCTATCAGCCCGCGCGCAGCCCGCAGCCACACGTGCCCTGCCCTGCCTATGCGCCACCGCCACCCGTGCGCAGCACGCTTGCCTGCCTTGAACGCCTGCCTGCCTTAAGAGCCTGCTCCCTGAGCCTCCTGTCTGAGCCTGCAGCCTTTACCTGCTGCCTGAGCCTGCTATCAGTTGCCGGCGCCACCATATTGCCTCACCTGCGCCTGCCTGCTGCCTTACCCTAAAGTCTTTGCCTGCTGCCTGAGCCTGCCTGCTGCCTGCGCCTGAGCCTTTGCCTGTGCCTGCTGCATTTCCCCGCCCTGTGACCATGGCGACTATTTCTGTTCTCGACTTTGAGCCTGACGGTAGTCCTGTTCAGTTTGACACCTGGCTCAGTGACCTGCAGCTCTACCTTTTGACTAATACCAAGGACGGAGCCTCTCTGCTAGACTATGTCAATGGCACTGCCCCTGCTCCCGCTGCTACTGCTCCTGCCTCTGAACGCGCTGAATGGCAGACCCGCGATGCCCTTGCCCTTGCCCTTGCCTACTGTTTGACGCAGTAGTTGCCCGCTATTCCGCCCCAGCCACTGCCGCCGTTGGTAGCCTCATCCTACCCTACCTTTTCCCCGACCTCGCCTCGTTTTCCACTGCTGCAGACCTCATCTCTCACCTCCGCACTAGTGACGCTCGCTTTCGTGCCGCTCTCTCTGACGAGTTCCTCGCCGAGAACAAACCCCCCCTGTACTTTACCCTCTACATCCTAGTCACCCGCCTTCCCGACACGCTCCGTTCCGTTAGGGACTACTTCCTCGCCAAAGACCCTCCCACCATCACCCTAGATGACTTCGAGCAGCAGCTAGTTGCAGCTGAGAAGAACATTCTTGCTGTGAATGCTGCTCGTGGCACTCCCCGCACTCCCCTCTTTGAGGGATGCTCCCCCTCCCCTCTTACCCCCTCCTATGCCTCTGCTGCTGCTGCTGTTGACCTTCTCGGCGCTGAGAAGGTCAACGCCGCTTCTACTCTTGGTGGGAAGCGCGGCGGAGGCAAGGGGGGCAAGTGGGGCAGGGGTGGCGGAGGTGGCGGTGGAGGGGGCGGTGGTGGAGGCGGCGGGGGTGGCGGCGGCGGTGGGGGTGGCCGTGGGAGTGGAGGTGGTGGGTGGGGTGGCAGCAGGACCGGGGGCGGTGGTGGCGGCAGCGGAGGTGGTGGGGGAGGAGGCAGCGGCACTGGTGGTGGAGGTGGGGATGGAGGTGGATCTGGCCAGAAGAGTGGCCCTCGTGGCGGCCAGCAGCAGCAGCCACAGCAGCAGCAGCCACAGCAGCAGCAGCAGCGTCCGCCTCTCACCTCCCAGCAGCTCAATGACTGGTATGCTGGGCGTGGGGCGTCTAGGGGCTCTGACCGCTGCCCCTATGTCATTCGCACAGGTCCCCGCCAGGGTCGCACCTGCGACGGTTTTCACACCGAGTTCCGCTGCTTCGCTAGGCTTAGTGACGCCTGGCGCGCAAAGTATCCTGATGCTACTGAGTTCCCCAACTGGGCAGATCTGCTTAGGCGTGGTGTTCCTATCTTTGATCTGGACTATGATGCTATTCTTGCTGCTATGTATGCATTGACTGTTAGTGCTGAGGGTGACTGTTACTTGTGTGTGCCGCCTGACCCAGGTATAGAGACTGCAGCCCTAGGTGCTAGTGAGTCTGCTCTCCCTGGTACTGCGTCCGCTCAGGCTTTGCACACGTTCACACTTGACTCTGGTGCTTTGCGTTGTTTCTTTCGCGACAGCACCACTGTCACCCCTCTCCCTGCACCTGTTCCTGTCTCACTGGCTGACCCCTCTGGGGGTCCAGTGCTTGCACGGGCCACGACTGTGCTTCCGTGCCCAGCGGTCCCGTCTGGTGAGCTGTCTGGTCTCCATGTTCCCTCGTTCTCTACGAACTTGGTGAGCAACGCCGTCCTTCAGGATCACTGGGTTGACACCTGGACTCCTGGAGGACAGCGTGTGGCGATCTGTACATGCTCCAAGACCGGCCGCCACCTGGCCACGTTCACACGTGAGCCAGGGTCTAGTCTGTACACCCTCACCACTGTTTCACGCTACACTCCTTTGTCTCCACAGCTGTACGCGTCTGCTCAGGTTGCCACCCAGTGTGAGTGCCGCCGCCTGTCCCACGACACTCTCCTTTGGCACCACCGCCTTGGTCACCCCTCCCTGCCTCGCCTTCGTAGCATGCACTCTCGCTGCCTGGTCTCTGGCCTTCCCAGGTCTCTCCCTGCCCTCCCTCCCTCGCCTGCGCCTCCCTGCATTCCTTGCGTCGAGGGGCGGCAGCGCGCCGCTCCTCACTCCTCCTCGTTCCCTCCCACAGAGGCTCCACTGCAGACTCTCCACCTGGACGTGTGGGGCCCGGCCCGCGTCCAGGGGCAGGGCCGCGAGCGGTACTTCCTGCTGGTGGTTGATGACTACACGCGCTACACCACGGTCTTCCCCTTGTGCAGCAAGGGGGACGTCCCTGCTATTTTGATCCCCTGGATCCGCGCTGCTCGTCTCCAGCTCCGCGAGCGGTTCCAGTCGGACTTTCCTGTCTTGCGTCTGCACTCTGACAGAGGTGGTGAGTTTTCCTCCGACCTCTTGCGAGCCTTCTCTGAGGAGCACGGCATCGCCCAGTCGTTCACGCTTCCGGCCTCTCCACAGTAGAATGGGGTTGCTGAGCGCCGCATAGGCTTATTCATGGAGGTCGCTCGTACCTCCATGATCCATGCGGCGGCTCCCCATTTTCTGTGGTCGTTTGCGGTCCGGTACGCCGCGCATCAGCTCAACCTCTGGCCCCGTGTCTCCTTGCCGGAGACCTCGCCCACACTGCTGTGGACGGGGAAGGTTGGCGATGCGTCGCGTTTCCGGGTCTGGGGTGCTCGTGCGTTTGTCCGCGATAGTACTGCGGACAAACTCTCTGCTCGTGCCATTCCCTGTGTTTTCCTTGGCTTTGTTCCTGACGCGCCTGGCTGGCAGTTCTACGAGCCCACCTCGCGCTGTGTCTTTGCGTCTCAGGACGTCACCTTTGACGAGTCCGTTCCCTTCTACCGTCTCTTTCCCTACCGTACTTCTCCTCGCACCCCCCCGCCGCTCTTCCTTGCGCCTGGTTCTCCGTAGGTATTCCCCTTCCCCGCGCCAGGTCCTGCTCCCTCAGGTGTTTCTCAGGTAGACCCTCCCGTGCCTGCACCTGTTGAGGTCACTGGTGACTCCGGTCCTGCTGGAGGTGGTGCTGTCGGTGGGGATACTGGGCCTGGGGGTGGGGAGCTTGAAGGTGCTGCGTCTGGGAGTGCTGAGCCTGCGCGTGAGGGGCCTGGAGGTGCGGAGCCTGGGGGTGCTGTGCCTGCGTGTGAGGAGTCTGGAGGTGCGGAGACTGGAGGTGCGGAGCCTGGACGTGCGGAGCCTGGAGGTGTGGAGCCTGGAGGTGCGGAGCCTCCGTGTGAGGAGTCTGGGGGTGCTGAGTCTGGGGGTGCTGAGTCTGGGGGTGCTGAGCTGGAGGTGCTGGGTCTGAGGGTGCTGAGCCTGCTGGTGTGCGGTCCCCTTGGAGTGGCCGCCTTCGTCCGCGTGTGCCTCTCACCTCCCAGCAGCTGCACGACTGGTACGGTCGCCGTCAGGGTCGCACTACTGGAGCCCGGGGCTCTACTGCTGGAGGTCCTTCTGCTGACGTCTCTGGAGCTCGGAGTCGTGCTGGTACTTAGCCTACTGGAGGTGCAGGAGTCACTGGTCCCGGAGGTGCTCGTACTGGAGGTACTGGAGCTGCTGGGGCTGGGAGTACTGTGTCTGGGGGTGCCGCTGCTGGGGACACTGCGGCTGGAGACCCTGGGACTGGGGGTGCCGGTTCTGGGGGTGCTGCTGCTGGTGGAGCTGGTCCTGGAGGAGCTGGCGCTGGGGGTGCTGGAGTTTCTGGAGGTGCTGGAGCTCTTGGTGCTGCTAGTCCTGCGCAGCCGCAACTGTTCTTCGCTCCGCCGTCTCCGTCGTCTCAGCCGCCCCCTGACTCTGTGCTTCGCCAGGTTCTTAGTCTTCCGTCTTCTACTGGTCTTCCGTTACTGCCTGGCTCGCCGCTGCCTGCTCCCTCTCCTTACCCTGAGCAGTTAGGGGGCCTTACTGAGCGTCGTGAGCCTGCGTCGCGTCCTGTCTCGCCTGTTCGTCCTAGTAGTTCCACTCGTCGTGTTCCGCGTCCGCGTTCGCCGCCTGTCCCCACCGCACACCTTGTCGTCCGTCGTCCTTCCTCTGTTCCACAGTCTGTTTCTCTGCCGTCTCCTCCTGCGTCTTCCTTGCCTCACGTTCCGAACCCTGAGTCTGACCGGTTTCGTGCTGAGCACCCTACTGTCACGCGTCTGCTCGCCACTGTTGTCACTGACCCCTCGTTTGAGTCTGCTGCTGCGTCTGCTTTGGTTGCTGAGCTTGTTGACTTTGCGGCTGCCTGTCGTCTAGACTACGATGCTAGCCTTATTGCTGAGTCTGAGTCTGTCTGTCCTCCGTCCGTCGGGGGTGAGTGTGCTCTTAGCACGGACGTCCTTGAGGACAGGCACGAGGACCTTGAGTGTCTTGCAGCCGCTGCGTCTCATCTCGTGGCCATGCTGCTTGCCCCTGAGGGAGACCCGGATGCTATAGACATCCCGACCCCGCGCTCTTACGCTAAGGCGATCGCGGGTGAGTACTCCTCTCAGTGGCAGGCAGCCATGGACGCAGAGATGGCATCCTGGAAGTCCACAGGCACTTAAGTCGATGAGGTTCCCCCTCTCGGGGCGAACATCATCGATAGCATGTGGATTTTCAGGGTGAAGCGGCCGCCAGGTTCTCCGCCTGTCTTCAAGGCTCGTTACGTTGCTCGAGGCTTCAGTCAGCGAGAGGGAGTTGACTTCTTCCAGACCTTCTCCCCCACCCCGAAGATGACTACTCTTCGGGTGCTGCTGCACGTTGCCGCCCAGCGTGACTACGAGCTTCACTCTCTGGACTTCAGCACAGCTTTCCTACAGGGCAGCCTGCACGAGGAGATCTGGCTGCGCCGCCCACCTGGCTTCACTGGGTCGTTCCCTCCTAGTACCCAGTGGAGCCTCCGCCGGCCAGTCTACGGTCTCCGCCAGGCACCCCGTGAGTGGCACGACACACTGAGGACTACACTTGCGGCTCTTGGGTTTGCGCCTTCGACTGCTGACCCGTCACTGTTTCTGCGCACCGACACTTCGCTGCCGCCGTTCTATATCCTCGTGTACGTCGACGACTTGGTCTTTGCTACTGCTGACACTGAGGCCCTCGCCCTGGTGAAGTCGGAGCTGGAGAAGAGACACACGTGCACAAACCTGGGTGAGCTGCGTAGCTACCTTGGCTTGCAGATCACCCGGGACCGCGCACGCCGCACCATCACAGTGACTCAGTTACACATGGTGCAGCAGGTCCTTCAGCGTTTCGGCTTCACCTGGTCCTCGCCACAGTCCACTCCTCTGGCTACAGGTCACTCGCTCTCAGCTCCACCTTCGGACGAGTTCGTAGAGCCGAGTGGTCCTTACCCAGAGCTAGTGGGCTGCCTCATGTACCTGATGACTTGCACTCGTCCTGACCTAGCGTACCCTCTTGGCCTTCTGGCTCGCTACGTGGCTCCTGGTCGGCACCGAAAGGTGCACTGGGATGCTGCGAAGAGGGTACTGCGAAGAGGGTACTGCGCTACTTGTGCAGTACATCGGGCATGGGGCTCGTGCTTGGAGGACGGCGAGAGGTGGTCCTCACTGGGCACTCGGACGCTTCTTGGGTTGACGACCAGGCTACGCAGCGGTCGTCACAGGGTTACACTTTCAGCCTTGGCTCTGGTTCTGTTTCTTGGCATTCTACTCGCTCGTCTTCTGTTCTCAGCTCCAGTTGTGAGGCTGAGATCTACGCTACAGCCATGGCTGCTCAGGAGTTACGCTGGCTCACCTACCTGCTGACCGACTTGGGAGAGAGGCCTCGTTCTCCTCCAGTTCTGTACGTCGACAACAAGGCCACCATTGCCTTGTGTCAGGAGCACAGACTGGAGCACAGAACGAAGCACATCGCTCTGCGTTACTTCCTGGCTCGAGAGTTGCAGCAGCGTGGTCAGCTTCGTCTTGCACACGTGGCCACTCGGGCCAACACTGCTGATATATTCACCAAGGCACTTCCGTCTGGTGATCATCAGCGTTTTTGTACTTTGTTAGGCCTTGTGCCTACGTTTCCACACTTGCTGTAGACTTTGCTTGTACTGTGATCTATATATATATGTATATATATATATATATATATATATATACCTGCATGCTTGTTCTTGCTAGGTAGTGATCACTGTACTGTTCTTGTCGCATATATATCTCTGCATGCGAACTGGCCTTGTGGCCCTTTACTTGTGCTCAGAGTGTGTGGTGACGTTGTGATCCACCCTGAGCTTGCTTTGCTTCTCTTGACTGGTCTTGTGACCCCTTGTTCTCCCCCACTTTGCCTATGGGGGTGTGTCAAACTATATTTGTATGTTGGCTTTGTCTAGGCTGTAGTGGGGTAGCACTAGGGGGTACAAAATTTCTCTCGACATTCTCTCTTGTACCCCCCCTTGACCTAATCGAACCATTCCTTCCTAGCCTTAGTTCTAAGACTACGCTCTAATCTAGCGGATTTCGGGATACCGTACTGGACATATGTTGTCGAGGTAGTACCGCGGCGGGATATGAAGTCAGGGAATGGCTGAAGGTCTGTGGTACGCATAAACCCGATGGTACAAGCGTTTAGAGTGAAACTTGTTACACGCATTATTATCCATTTGAATAGCAATGTAAATTTACGTATTTAAAACAGCAAGAAATAGCTCACGAAAGACCAACGAAGTTTTGGGGATGTATCCACCATCTGGTCCACATATTGTACTAGCGAATGGCTGCATGTGCAGCAAGCTGGTATACACGTCATATTTACAACTGAAAAATATACATACGTATCTCCATTTAAAGTAATCCAAATTCTATCATGTCCAGCCCTCGACCACCCTCCACTTTCACCCATCCACCCATCCCTCCATGCATCACCCCTTCACTTCATCCCTCCTCTCCTGCCCCTCAGCCACCATCACCCTCTTCCCCATCTCATACACCAAGAACCCAATCGCCGTGGCTGGAACCAGCTCAATGAGGCTCGGCAGCACCCCTCGGTACAGCCCCCTCACCCCATCCTTCATTACTATCCCCCTCATTGCCTGGCGAAGGGAGTTGTACTCCAGGTGCCCACCCGTAGGGGTGGCGTGCTTTGGCAGCAAGCTCATGTTGATTTCGCGCCGGCAGAGCTCAAACGGGTGTGTGACTATAGTGGAGGCTGCTCCTGCAATGGCGCCGGCAACGAGTGTGCGCACTGCAGACGGGTCTTTGCCGTTTCTTCGTCTCTGATTGACATGAAACAAAAAAAGGATCACAGCGGTGACAGGGGATTGTTAGAAAGTGTCATGGTGTTGGGATCATGTCAGCTCTAAGGGGTGTGTGACCAAGGGCGTGTGACTATAGTGAATGCTGCTCCTGCAATGGCACCGGAAATGAGCGTGTGCGCTGCAGATGAGTCTCTGCCATACCTCCGTCTCTGTTGAATGGGGGAAAAGGGGTATGGCAACAGGGCATTGTATAGAGTGTGTGTGTGGGCATAGGGCAACATGCATGCTAAGCATCTCACCTTGATCTCCTGCTTGAGCGAGTCAAAGACAAGAGTGTTGATGGCAGATGCGGGCACCATGGATGGAGGCCAGCTTTGACACAAAAACGAGGGGGATAGAGCGGGAGCGTTTGAGGGGCATAGCGCAAACACATGTATGTATGCATCTGACCTCACCTTGATTTCATCTTTCAGCGATTCGAACACAAGGAAGTTCATAGCAGAGGCGGGCACCATTGAAGCCAGTTTTGGCACCACCCCTCGGAACAGCTGTGATGCGCCGTGCTGCTGTGCCACCCCCACCAGGGCCTGGCGCAGACCAGGGTACTTTCCCGGCTGAAAACGGGAGTATGTGAGAGAGATTGTACGGAGAATGGAAGGTGAAAATGTGTGAACAGCTGTGAGGCGGCGTGCTGCTGTGCTACTCCCACCAGGGATTGCGCAGACCCGCATATTTCCCCGGCTGCAGAATAAGGGGGGAGGAGTTGAAGGAAGGAACAAGAATCAGAAGACGGGCTCAGAACAAGTGTGAGGCGCTGTGCTGCTGTGCCACCCCCACCAGGGCCTGCCGCAGACCAGGGTACTTTCCGGCTGAAATATTGTAATATATTGTAGTAAAAATGGGAGTGGAACATGTGTGCACGGGTGTGAGGTGCCGTGCTGCTGTGCCACCCCCACCAGGGCCTGGCGCGGACCCGAGTATTTCCACGACTGCAGCAATGACCGAGAAGGAGACATACAGAGGGAAGAATGACAAGAAATTAAGCTAAGGTCTCACTCTACACTGAACAGCTGTGAGGCGCCGTGCTGCTGTGCCACCCCCACCAGGGCCTGGAGCGGACCCGAGTATTTCCCCGACTGCCGGGGAACAGAGAGAAAAATGAAATGGTGTGGGAAGAAGGCGAACAGAGGAAGACGAACAGTAATGTACATATCCTGCCATACCCCCACCTTAGCAAAAGGCACCTGACGACACCTGAAGACACCTAATGCTACCTGAAGGCACCTGTTGCCGACAGCAGAGAAGGGGTAAAGGAGGAGAGTGGCAGCTAGTAGGATACCTTGCTATGCCATAACTCCTACCTCACCTGAAGCCACCTGAAAGTTCGCCGCCAGGCTCATGTGGTCGCCAACAGCAGACAATGGTATGGGAAGAGTTTGGAAAGCAGAAATACACCCTGCCATACTCATACGGTCTTACCTCACCTGAAGGCACCTGAAGACACCTGAAGGTTTACCTGAAGACTCACCTGAAGACTCATGTGGTCGCCGACAGCAGAGAAGGGGTAGAGGAGGAGAATGGCAACAGGCAGGCCTGCTGCTCCCCTTGCCACTGATAGACGCAAGCTCACGTGCACCCTTTTACCCACAACAACACCCACCTGCAGACTCATGTGGTCGCCGACAGCGGAGAAGGGGTAGAGGAGGAGAGTGGCAGCCATGCCTGCTGCTCCCCCTGCCACTGAGCTGGGAGGTAGCGACTCGGGCAGCTGAAACGTTTTGGGATGCTTCTGATTGGCTCGTAAGAGCCATGCCTTGACGGTCTCAAACGTGTAGAACTGAATGGATGGGGATTCAGAGAAGAAAGCAAGGGAAGAACAGGGGAAAAGAGGAAATGAGGGAGGAGGGAGGAAAAGCCATGGAGGAACAAGAGGAGAGAGGGCAATATGTGGTGAATGCCAGGGGAAGAAGGGAGCTTGAACTGGCACATGCGTACTTGCATATGCAGATGAATGACTGACAAGATGAAAGAATTGAGAACCTTAAAGCCCTGTGAGGGCTGTGTCCTGCGAAAGATGTGTCCCTTAAAGCCACCTGAATGCCTCTGTTCAGCGCCGTCATGATGATGGGCATCTTGAGCCCTGAAGACAGAATGTTGTCCCTTAAAGCCCGGTTATGCACCGCTGTCGATGCCACCTCAGCAGCCGTTCTCCCGCCCTTCTGTGCAATCACCCTCGTTTGAAAGTTCTTTAAGGGGCCTGTGCATGCACCCACCACTCCCCCTGCCAGCACTCCGCATAGGAACTGCACATGGGGGTTGCATTGCAGAGACGAAGAGAAATGAGTGCGGAGAGAGTGTGTCGATGAGCTGGAAGAAAGATAACTTAAGGCTCGAGGGAGGTACTCGCCCCCACCACTCCCCCTGCCAGCACTCCGCAATGGAACTGCACATGAGGATTGCATTGCAGAGACGAAAGAGCAGAGAGTGGTTAAGCGGGCAAGTGAAGGAAATGGCAGAATACAGTTAGCCCTTGAAGGGCGGGACCAAAGCATGCACCCACCACCACAACCCCTGCCAGCATTCCACATAAAAATAGGCGAAGGGAGGTGCAGAGACAGAGAAGAAGAGAGAAGCGCAAAGACAAATCACACACATCTGCTCTTGTCAGAGTGCTCATGTGAGCTGATGACAGGAATTGCTCATGTGAGTTGCTGAAAGAAATTGCTCATGTGAGTTGCTGATGGGAATTGCTCATGTGAGTTGCTGAAGGGAATTGCTCATGTGAGTTGCTGATGGGAATTGCTCATGTGAGTTGCTGATGGGAATTGCTCATGTGAGTTGCTGATGGGAATTGCTCATGTGAGTTGCTGATGGGAATTGCTCATGTGAGTTGCTGATGGGAATTGCTCATGTGAGTTGCTGATGGGAATTGCTCATGTGAGTTGCTGATGGGAATTGCTCATGTGAGTTGCTGATGGGAATTGCTCATGTGAGTTGCTGATGGGAATTGCTCATGTGAGTTGCTGATGGGAATTGCTCATGTGAGTTGCTGATGGGAATTGCTCATGTGAGTTGCTGATGGGAATTGCTATGACAAAACCTATGAATAACCTATGATTTTGATTTTGGCATATTCCTTATCAAGTGTGCCTTTCTACGTGGCACACGTGTCGTCACGATATCCGAAATCGATGTCTGGACACGTCATTCCGCCGTGTCCTGCCAAACCATCTAAACATTTCACCGCGATAAAGCGTCACTCGTTTCCCCTCGAGTTCATACATCCGCCCAAATCAAACCACCCCACACCCACAGAGCAGCCGCCACGTGTGTGACTGCTTGGTGTTTTCGTTCGGACGGCGGGTTGTTCTCCGTAGAGCTCAAGCGGCCAGTCAACCAATTTCCGAACTGAACGAAGGCCTTGTTCTGCAGGCGTTTAGGGTTCCGCACCAATTTGACCGCGTTAGCCTTCCTTGTATTTGCCAGGCGCATTCATGCTGGTTGCATTGCGCGGATGTTGCTGCCCCGCATAACTTGTGCGGAGGCTGATGCTAGCTCCCGAGGTAGAATCAGCACCGCACTAGTTGTGCGTCCATTTGCCCGGTGAAGCAACATCTTCGAGCCAGCAAACGTTTGAAATTTTGCGCCCCTAAAGTGTTGTTCTGCAGGCAGAGGCGTTAAATTTGGCGTGAACAGGTTTGGCAGGACTTCGCTTATCACCAAACCTTGATAGGCAGAAACCCGCTTATCGGCGAAGATTCTGCGGACCCGGACTTTTGAAATTTAACGCCTACAGAACAGCGCCGACTTCCACACAGGAGTGCCTTGGCTATAGCATATATTTCCGCACCAAACATAGCGTAGCGTAGCGCACCAAGTCAGTACTGTGAGCAAGTGGTCACTCGTAGAGCCGTGGGCGAAGTTTTTTCCTGAGGCGCGTGGTAAATAGCACCCGCGGGGACAAGACGGCTAAGATCTGACGCTTACAAACGTTTGTCGCGGTAGAATGCCACTTCCGCTGCCGCCGCCCTTCGCGGGCGATGCTGCCGACGGCAGGAAGCAAGGAGCGGCTGTAGCGGCCGGTCGTCACGTAAACGCCGGCGGCTGTAGCGCAGCTCGTAAGCGTAACATCACGGCTCGTGACTCGCCGCATTCGCAGCATTCGCAACAACCGCTACAGCTGCCGGCGTGGCTTCAGGAGCTGCTACAGCAGCAAGAGCGGCTACTAGCCAGAATACAGGGCGATCCCCTTAGTTCCTATTCCATGGCTGCCGCGTCGTCTTCTTCTCCTTCCTCTTCGTCTTCCTCCCATTCAGATGTTGGTCCCCTTGGCACCGTAGCGCGTCAGCACTTGCCTTTTGCTAAAATGCTTCAAACCCCGCGTTTCTCCAATCCCTTCGCCGCTCTCCCTATCCCGGGGGGCTTGTCTTCCTCCGCTGCTTCCCCCGCCTCCGCCTCCGCCTCCCCCCCTTCCGCATCCGCCCCGGCCTCTCAAGGGGAAGCCGCGTCGCCGTTTGCCGCAGCGCCAGAACCGGCGGCTTCCGCGGCGGGCTCTAAAGCGCTGATTCTGCTGCCGCGTCAGCGGCTTCTCTTAGTCCCCGCCGCCGACCCGACCCCAGCCACTCCCGCTGACGTCATCACCGTCGTCGACGCAGGTTCGCGGAAGGACCCCAGTGTGGAACTTATCCCAGGTCCGGCCGGCGATGCCGGTCCTTCCGCCGTGATTCCCGGTCCGAGCGTCGTGACCTGGTCGAAGCTCGCGGGGTGGCGGGTCGAGCTCCCGCCGAACCTGCCGGACCTGACGAAGCTTCGTCCGGACATCGAGAGGCTTCGGCCGGCGCTGGAGGCGCGTGTGCAGCACACGCTGTCGCACGTGCCGTTTCGGGAGCTTCTGGAGGAGATCCAGCAGTGGAGCAAGGCGCGCGGGGGGATCGGCGGGAGGGCGGAGAGCGCGCGCGGGTCGCGGCGGTACCCCAACAAGCAGAAGCTGTCGTCCGTGCAAGACTTTTTCCATTACGCGGAGGCGGAAGGTAAGCGAGTGGGTGGTTAACCCTAAGAAAGGGTTGGCCAACAAGCAATGCAAGTGCAATGCAAGACGAGCTAACGAAGAGCTAAGTGGCGGGAGGGCGAGCAAACCCTAAAATGGGATTCTCAAAAAGCTGAAGCTGCTGCTGTTGGTGCGCTCATAACAAACCCAACATCCCCGTTTCCACCCCCTTCCCCACGACTCCCTTTTCCTCTCCATTCTCCTCGCGGCCCTCCTCCCATCCACACCCCGTCAGGCCGGCTCCTGTTTGCCGACTTGGACGAGGATGGGGACGGACAGGTACGGTTAAGCTGTCCGTCCCCGTCCTCAGCCTCGGCGCTCTCTCCAGGTACGGGTAGAGGACCGGGAGAGAGCGCGGGAGCTGCTGCAGAGTCTGAAAGACTTTAGCTATCCCCTCCACATTCCCTTCCTTCTCCCCATTCCCCTGTCTGGCCGTCGCCTGTTTGCCAAGTTAGACCAGAACGGGGACGGGCAGGTGAAGCTGGGGGACCTGGAGAGAGCGCGCGTTGAAGCTGTGAGTGATGGTCTCTCCCCATCCCTCCAACGCCACCCTCCCCCTTCCCCCCGCCCTGCCCTCTTTGCCGAGTTGGACAAGGACGGGGGCGGCAGGTGAAGCTGGAGGACCTGGTAAGAGCGCTAAAGCGCCGGCGCCTGCCATTCTCCAACCGCCCTCCCTAGATTATTCTCGCCAACGCCTCTTCCTTATTCCCGCATCAGGTCGTCGCCTCTTTGCCGAGTTGGACAAGGATGGGGACGGGCAGGTGAAGCTGGAGGACCTCGAAAGAGCACTCAAGCGGCGGCGCCTGCCGGCAGCGCACGCCCACCCGCTGCTCCGACGTCACTGGCTGGCGCTGGTGCTACTGCAGCTGCTGCTCCTCCCGTTTAATCTCCTCCTTCCCCTCCGCCACTATCCCCACCCTCCTGTTCTCAGGTCGTCGCCTGTTTGCCGAGTTGGACAAGGATGGGGACGGGCAAGTCAAATTGGAGGACCTCGAAAGGGCGTTGAAGCGCCGGCGCCTGCCAGCAGCGCACGCCCGCCCGCTGCTCAGACGCCTCCGGCGCCACTGGCTGGCGTCGTCCTTTGGGTGGGAGGAGTTCCAGTCGTTCATGGAGGCCAAAGAGCCGGCGATGCTGAGAGCCTTCACTTCCTTATGCGTGGGCTCCTCTGGGACACTGCAGAAAGGGCAGGTGCGTGGTCTGTGACCCGGTGAAAGGGCAGGTGCGTGGTCTGTGACCCGGTGAAAGGGCAGGTGCGTGGTCTGTGACCCGGTGAAAGGGCAGGTGCGTGGTCTGTGACCCGGTGAAAGGGCAGGTGCGTGGTCTGTGACCCGGTGAAAGGGCAGGTGCGTGGTCTGTGACCCGGTGAAAGGGCAGGTGCGTGGTCTGTGACTGGTTAAACGGGTCAACTGGGCCAACTGGGCCAACCGAGTGGGAGGAGTTCCAGTCGTTCATGGAGGCCAAGGAACCCGCCAACTGGGCCAATCGTTTACTTGTCTCTGTGTTGGGTCGTCAGGCACGCTGCAGAAAGGGCAGGTGAGTGGAGCATTACCATTGGGAGGGATGGCTCGTGGCTGACTTACCAGTGGGAGGAGGGGTGCGTGAAGAATCTGCAGTCAAGATTAGTTCGGGTGGGAGGAGTTACAGTCGTTCATGGAAGGCAGGGCAAGGGGCCGGCCATGCTCCAGTCCAGGCTTTTACTTAGCTGTGTGTGGGGTCGTCGTCAGGGACGCTGCAGAAGGGACAGGTGCGTGGGGTGGGCATTGACTGTTGAAGCGGTTCAATAATGAAACGACAATTTCAGACGTTCATGGAGGCGAATGTACCCTCCATGCTGAGGCACGCTGCAGAGGGGGCAGGAGCATGCAGCGAGAGAGCAACGTGCGAGCTATGATGCGGTGTCTGGACGCATGACCTGTGGGGAGGGGACTTCCCTTCCTCTTCCCTCCCTCCTTTCCTGTCCCTCCTCTCCCTTCCCCTTCCTTCCTCTCCCTCCCTCCCTCCTCTCCTTTCCTGCCACCAGGTGTTCGCCTCACTGGAGAAGGCAGGGCTACCAGCCACCGAAAGCAACGTGCACGCCATGATGCGGTTTCTGGACGCAGATGAGTTGGGGCCTGTGATGTGATGTGACATAAGGGGACGTCCCTTCCTCTTCCCTCCCTCCTTTCCTGTCCCTCCTCTCCCTTCCCCTCCCTTCCTCTTCCCTCTTCATTTCCTGCCCTCAGGTGTATGCTTCACTGGAGAAGGCAGGGCTACCAGCCACAGAGATCAACGTGCGGGCCATGATGCGATTCCTAGACGCTGATGAGTCAGGGCACGTCACCTATGGGGACTTCCCTTTTTCTCCCCTCCCTACCTCACTGCCTCATCTTCCGTCTCTCCCTTCCTGCCACCACCAGGTGTTTGCTTCACTGGAAAAAGCCGGCCTACCAGCCACGGAGAGCAACGTGCGGGCCATGATGCGATTCCTAGACGCGGACGAGTCAGGGCACGTGACCTATGGAGACTTTCGGAACTTTCTGCTGCTGCTGCCGCCCGAACGGCTGCAGGGGAGCGACCCCAGGTGAGGAGAGTGATGTAGCAGCAGAGGCCATTGAGGAGGTGGTGAGGACGAGGGGCGGAAGCACCTGCTGCTGCTGCTGCTGCTGCTGCTGCTGCTGCTGCTGCTGCTGCTGCTGCTGCTGCTGCTGCTGCTGCTGCTGCTGCTGCTGCTGCTGCTGCTGCTGCTGCTGCTGCTGCTGCTGCTGCTGCTGCTGCTGCTGCTGCTGCTGCTGCTGCTGCTGCTGCTGCTGCTGCTGCTGCTGCTGCTGCTGCTGCTGCTGCCGCCCGAACAGCTGCAGGGGAGCGGTCCCAGGTGAGGGGATGTTGGGGAACGTGCGGATCGTTGGGGACAAAGGCTTTTGCTGCATCTGCTGCTATGTACCAGCCGCCGCTGCTCACGCCACCGCTGGTGTTGCTGCTGCTCCGCCTCCTCTGCTGCTGCTGCTGCTGCTGCTGCTGCCGGCCGAATGGCTGTAGCGCAGAGGTTCTGGGCGAGGAGAGGAAAGATCGGTTGGAAGGGGTATGGCTGGAGAGGAGAGAAAGCTAGTTAACTGGAAGGGGTATGGTGAGGTGGAAAGCAGCCTCTCTGCTGCCCTCTTCTCCCTCGCTCTCTCCCCACATTCTAGCTTTGTGTTGACGTGTGTCCCCCCCCACCATCCACCCCCGTGTCCCCACACCCCCCACATCCTCCCCTCATTCGATCGCGCAGCATGGTGTGGTGTGGTGTGGTGTGGTGTGGTGTGGGATGCCGATGCGGCCACGATGGTCCCCATGCCGCACCATAGATGATGGATGCGCCTATTCTCCTCTCCTCCCATATCCCACCTCCCCGTCCCCCCACTCCCTTCCGCCACTCCCCCCCCCCCCCCCGCCCCTCTCCTCCTCCTCCCTCCCCCACGTCAATGCGGCCACTATGGTTCCCCATGTTGCACCACATCATGGGTGTGACAACTCAGCTCCCCACTTACCCCCATCCCCCATCCCCTCTCCCTCCCCCCATCCCCCATTCCGGCCCCCTATCCACACACACACACAGCATGGTGTGGTACGATGCAGCCGCCATGGTCCCAATGGTACGAATATTCGGCCCACTTCCCTCATCTCTTCCTTCCTTCCCAACACACCACCCTCCCCAACCCCCCTTTATCCACACACACACACACAGCATGGTGTGGTACGATGCAGCCACCATGGTCCCAATGGCGCCGCCCGCTGCCACGTCAGCGCCAGCTGGCAGCGTGATCAAGTCTGCGCTGGCGGGCGGGCTGGCCTCGGGATTGTCGACGTGCCTCATGCACCCCTTGGATACCATCAAGGTGGGTGTGACTGTAAAGTGGGTGTGACTGTAAAGTGGGTGTGACTGTAAAGTGGGTGTGACAGGAAGGAATGCTCCCCTTGGATACCATTAAGGTGCGTGTGACTGTAAGGAAGGATACTATCTAGGTGGGCGTGACAGAAAGAAGAGTGTGACAGTAAGGAGCGTGGAGAGGTTTCCTTATTTTCGTCACTAGAGATGGTTCGATAAAGATGCTGAAACCTATTAAGGTGGGCTAGTCAGTGAGGCTGGGCGAGTCAGTGAGGCTGGGCGAGAGAGACCCCTGTGCAAGCTTTCGCAGCCTCAGATGGACTAATCTGGGCTCTCGAGGCAGGGGCTGTACCGGGGGGGTCAGATAGCGCCATTACCCCTCTCCCTATGCTACCACCACCACACCTTTGAGCCGACTCAAAAGTCAGCTCTCCCTATGCTACCACCACCACACCCGCTTGCAAGCCTCCTCAGCCTCGCACTCAGAGAAGGTGCGATCAGCGCCATGTATAAGTATCCAGGGGCTGTACCTGGGGACTCCTCCAGCCATCCTGGAACAGATTTTGAGCCGCCCTCTCTTCTTCTCGCTCCCCTCTTTCTCCATTGCTCCTTCCCTACCACCACCAGACCCGAGTGCAAGCCTCCTCGGCATCCCTCTCAGAGATGGTGTGATCCGTGCCGTCCATCAGCATCCACAGTCTGTACCGGGGAGCCCCGCCGGCCATCCTGGGGCAGTTTGTGAGGCGGCCAAGCCCCATCTCTCTCAAGCCGCCCTTCCTCTCACTCCCTCCTTCCCTCCCTCACTTCCTACCACCACCAGGCCCGCGTGCAAGCCTCTTCAGCCTCGCTCTCCGAGGTGGTGCGGTCAGTGCCATCCATCGGCATACAGGGATTGTACCGGGGGGCTCCGCCAGCCATTTTTGGACAGTTTGCAAGCCATCCTCCCTTGCTCTCGACCCCCCTTCTCTCTCCATCCCTCCCTCGCCACCAGACCCGCGTGCAAGCGTCCTCTGCATCCCTGACTGAAGTCATCAAGTCAGTGCCGTCCATCGGCATACAGGGATTGTATCGGGGAGCCCCGCCAGCCATCCTTGGACAGTTTGCAAGCCATGGGTTGCGCACGGGCGCATATGAAGCTTCCAAGATGCTTCTCACCAGCATGCTGCCGAACCTCACAGAGTACCAGGTATGGCCTGACAGGTATGGGCTGACAGGTATGGGCTGACAGGTATGGGCTGACAGGTATGGGCTGACAGGTATGGACTGACAGGTATGGGCTGACAGGTATGGGCTGATATGGGCTAACAGGTATGGGCTAACAGGTATGGGCTGACTCAATATAGCCTCCACCTCCGCCCTGATGTGGAAGTCCCTCCGTGAGAGGTCTTATGGAGACTTTAAAGATCCACCAAGTACCAGGTAAGGGTTGACACAGTATTGCCTCCTCCTCAGCCCGAGTTATCCAAGCCCCTTTCTCTGTGAGAGATTCTATCCGTCTGTTGAAAATGGTGAAGCTCAGCTGTTGCAGCTGTGAAGTCCACTGCATTTCTATTAAGGTATCGGTGGGTGGACTTAAAGGTCATCTCAGCCGTAGATGCCCTAGATCCTCCCTCGATTGGTGAGATTCTAGAAAGAGAACTTCTGTTCTTCTTCCATTTTTTATTTCTCTCCTCCTTCCTCCTCCTCCACGTGCCCGCTTCCGTCTGGCGCGTTGGGGCAGCTGTTGCAGGGAGGTGAGGTCTCGATTTTCTAGGCGCCTCAAAACACAGCAGCTGCAAGCTCTGTGACGGCACAGCACAGCACAGCACAGCACAGCACAGCACAGGAGGTTGTATCTTGGCAGCAATGCACAGATCAATTCCCTTCCATTGCCCTCCCCTTTTTCAGGGCCAACCAGTCTCATCGCTCTGCTCCACTGTGTATTGGGCACGGCTCTCCGCATTCCCTGTGAGGTGCTGAACTAAAGCAGCAGCTGCAGGCAGGGCTGTACAGGAGCATGCACAGGCCCTTAACCATCTTCTCTCCCCCCCACCCCTCATCGCTTCTTCCCTTCCCTTCAGGTCCAACCAGTGGCCTCTCTGTGCTCCACTGTGTTGGGCACGGCACTCCGCATTCTTTACGAGGTGCTGAAGCAGCAGCTGCAGGCAGGGCTGTACAGGAGCATGCACAGGCCCTTAACCATCTTCTCTCCCCCCCACCCCTCATCGCTTCTTCCCTTCTCCTTCAGGTCCAACCAGTGGCCTCTCTGTGCTCCACTGTGTTGGGCACAGCACTCCGCATTCCCTGTGAGGTGCTGAAGCAGCAGCTGCAGGCGGGGCTGTACAGCAGCACGGGGGCAGCACTCAAGGCGACGCTCAAGGAGGGCGGGGTGAAGGGGCTGTTCCGAGGGACCACCGCCACGCTGTGCCGTGAAGTGCCCTTCTATGTGTTTGGCATGCTCATATACCTGCAATTCAAGCGGGTGAGTTGGGTTGAAACTACAGGCCAACGGAGGGTTGAAGGGGCTGTTCCGCGGGACCACTGCCATGCTGTTCCCAGATGTGCTCTTCTATGTGTTTGGCATCCTCATATACCTGTAAGTCAAGCGGGTGAGTTGAATAAAACTAGAGGCCAAGTGCAGAGCGAGGGGGGTGTTTTGCGAGACCACTACCACACTGTGCCGGGAGGTACCTTTCTTCGTGTTTGGCATGCTCATATACCTGCAAGTCAAGCGGGTGGGTTGTGGAGGCTGCAGCCAACTGGCTGTATACTGACAGAGAGTGCATGTGGCGTTGTAAGGGCCAGCTGAGATCGCTTTCTGCAAAGCTGAGCGTGTTCCTTGCAAGGTGTTTGATATAAAAAGGGGCCCTTTCATTCCTCCCTCCTCTCCCCTTCCATCGCAGGTCACTCACCATGTGTTGCGCAGGGAGCTCGCCCCCTGGGAAACCCTCCTCCTAGGCGGATTCTCATGCTCTCTGTTAATTGGCTTATTTCGAGGGCATCATTGTCACCCCCTCTCCCTCTCCCTCTCCCTCCTCCCACCCACCCATCTCAGGTTACTCGCCATGTGCTCCGCAGGGAGCTCGCCCCCTGGGAAACCCTCCTGCTGGGCGGCTTTTCGGGCGGCATGGCAGCGATTGCCATCACGCCATTCGACGTCATCAAGACGCGCATGATGACGTCGCCGCCCGGGGCGGCAGCGGCCGGCATGCTGACAGTTGGCGCGAATCTATTGGTCACGGAGGGGGTCGGGGCGCTGTACAAGGGCTGGCTGCCGCGGTTCTTCTGGATTGCACCACTTGGAGCGATGAACTTTGCTGGGTATGAACTGGCAAAACAGGCGATAGATGATGTGGGGGAGGAGGGGGAGGTGGGGAAAGAGGCGTAGCAGGGGGGAACAGTTAAGGCAAAGGAGAGGGGGGAGGAGAGGAGCGAGGGATAGGAGGAGTTGCAAAGGGGGGGGAGAGGGGGGGCGATGAACTTAGCTGGTTGGTTATGAGCTGGCGAAGCAGGCGATAGATGATGTGGGGGAGGAGGGGAAAGAAACGTAGTGGAGCAGGAGGAGCAGGGTGCAAGGAGGAGGCAGTAAGGAGGCGAGGAGGCAGTAAGGAGGCAAGGAGGAGGCAGTGCTCTACCGGTGCTAGCTGGTTCTTCTGTACTGTTCCCCTTGGGAGTGATAACCTACCGTCATTGCCCGGATATAAGACATATATGTCTTATCTCGTACACGGGGAAAAATGTTCGAGTTATCTTGTATTTGAGACAGTTAGGTTTTGAACCACTCTTCCACGTAAGGCCAACACCCCGCTTTCACTTTTTCTGTAAGGGTAGATCACAAGAACTACCGTACTTTTTCTGGTAAGGGTGCAAACATAATTAAATCTGCTTACAAATAAATTAAGTTTCCTATTTGGACCAGCTGTTGGTGTTGTAGTCAGTTGTGGCGAGGAATTCTCTGCGAAACACCTGGGACCGATACCTTACATGAGCTAGTTAGAAGGAGAGTGCAGTTTACTCGAGTGATTATGCTATACTCCATTAGATCTAACTCAATATCATCAGTGTTACTACACCACCTAGCTCTGAAATATCAGTGTAGTATAACCGAACACTTTTTCTTGTAAGGGTAAAAAAAACGACCACTCTGATAAAAAAGGGTGCATATTCAAACCCAGCCTTATAGTAAGGGTCATAAGGGTGAATCACCCTGTTAACCAGAGGCCTGGTTTAGGGTGTCTTAAGGTACATTCCGCTGTGGACCATGTTGTCAAACATTGTACCGTCATACCCCGGATATAAGCGCCACCCGCGGATAAGCGCCTGGCGCTTTTAATCGGCGCCCGGCGCTTATATCCGGTGCTCGATTATAAGCGCATACCTAAAAGGCTTACAGATTATAACCGCATACCTGTGCCGTACATATTATAACCGCCCCCCTTTGTTTTTAGTGTTTTTATATTTTGAAGATATCTAACAATATTAAATCTACATCTAAACATCTTTTTAACACTATTTAAACAAATCTACCTACATCTAAACATTTTTTCACACTATTTTAACATCTAATAGTCAATTTACATCTCATGTACTTCTACCTACAAGCCTCACATAGGCTTGACCATTTTCTATCTACCCTCGCAGATCATCTGCCGTAGTGGGGTCATCTGGGTCGGCGTCAGAGTCCGACTCAGGCTCTTCCACGTTGTTGCAGAAGAAGCCGTCTGCTGCAATTTCATCATCCATGTCGACCTCCTCGCCCTCGAGCTCATCTCGCCTGTGTTGCAGGCAGAGCTTGTCCTGGGACCCATCCAGGGCGTTGCTGATGCCGCAGGTGAGGAACGCCCGTTGGATGAGCTCCTTGGGCACGGACTTCCAGGCCGCCGAGATCCACTTGAGCGTCAGCTCGACAGGAGGCTTCTTGATGTTGCCTGCCACGCAAATCCAGAAACAAAGTTAGAGGGAGTTAAATAAAGGAAACACAAACTTACAGGCTGCACATCTCACCTTTCTTCGTCAGGCTGTCGACCCCCTCACGCTCAAACCACTCCTGGTAGAGCTGGCGGACGGCGGCCTTGAAGGAGCGGTTAACCGCGACGTCGAGGGGTTGAACCTCCGAGGTGCAGCCAGCAGGGATGACCGCAGGGACCACGTTGAGCTCGCCAAACTTTTTCTTCACCTCCGGGGTTAGGTGCCCGCGGTACGAATCGAGGACGAGCAGAACCTTCTTGGGGCGGACTCCGAACTTGGGGTTGATGTACGGCTTCACCGCCCCGTCAAGCCACTCGATGACCCCGTCCGCGTCCATCCACCCGTTGGGATGGACCCCCACGTGGATATCTGCACACCAAAACCACCATGTTAGAGAAAATTTATAAACACACATGCCACGGCGCAATCGACGTGTGGTGCATACCTGAAGGGAAGTCTCCTTTCGGGACGGTCTTCCTTTTGAAGAAGACCCACGGCTTCAGTTTTTCCCCGCTGGCGGTGCAGGCGAGCATGACTGTGACCCGCTCCTTCTGGTAGCCGCCGCTGCGGACGGGGATGGAGCGCGCGCCAACCTCTTCAACGGTGCGTTCGGATGGCATCTCGAGCCAGAGTGGCGTCTGGTCCGCGTTTAGAATCCACGGCAGCTCGATTCGGTACTGGCGGCGGGAGTGACGCACGAACGCCCAGAAGTTCCTCACTTCATCCTCGCAGTCTGGGACACGGGATGGGAGGAACAGAAAGCACAAACACAGAGTAAGAATCGTGTGTCGAGAGCACATTGACACATATTCACGACCATAAAACTCACTTGCCGAGAGCTTCTGGCCGACCCGGGTCTTCGCTCTGGTCGTCAGGTTCCAGCGGCGGCGAAATCGCTGAGTCCACCGCTGAGAGCCGGCCCACTTTTCACCTGGGTGTAGCTCCTTCATCACCTCGTGCGACCACTTTTGAAGTCGTGCGATGGAGACGGCGAGGCACTTTTTGCGGTGGGCGAGAAACCGACGGTACACCTCCGCTTCCATGTCGCGATACCACGAGCTCCTTCCGCGGCCGTGCAGGCGACATCGTGCACCGTGCGCGCCCTCAAGCTCAGCCTTGCGGTTCTTCCACTCCGTGAGGCACCTTCGGGAGATGCCGGATACGCGAGACATGCGCCGCACACTCATGTCGCCGGCTTCGAGCTTCAGAATCCATTGCAGCTTCTCCTGCGACGTGTATTTGTTGCGCTTGTGAGTTGACGGCTTGTGCCTGGGGGAGGGAGGACGGGCATCACGATTATCGCGAGATGGGTGAGGCCTTTTCTTATTCTGAGGTGGAAAAGAGGGAATTGGAAGGTGCTCGGGGAGACCGTCAGCAGCCCAGAACTCCACGTCGTCGTCGGCACCGGTAGCGGATTCGTCCAACGGGCAATCATCTGGGGCTCCCCACCGTGGCTCCGGTGCGGAGGAAGATCCTTCGCCGCCGCTGCGGTCAGGCTCGGACAGGAAGGCGTCGAACGCCGAGTAGCCAGGGGGGAGGAGAAGCTGCAGAACCCCCAGTCGCAGAACACCAACAGCAGGCGGGTCAGGAGGGGACGGAGGAACGGGAGGAATCGGAGGCGCCGGGGGAGCGGGAGGGGTAGGAGGCGTAGGAGGTGTTGGAGGAATGGGAGGCGCTACTGGTTGTGACTGAGGGACGGGCGCAGGGCGCCTCTGCCATTGAGACCAGTCACTGGTGTCTTGGCGGGTTCTTTCTCTAGCAGCAGGTTGGCGGCGGAACAAGAAATGCGTGCCTGGAAGGCCCGCCATGGCCACGGCAGGCCAAACGAGTGAAGAAAACTGAATCAGGAGTTGAGAATGAGGGCCATAATGAAACCCTCGCCCGAGACCCCTTCAGTTTCGCGGCCCGGCTTCCTCTGCGGGGAAAGTGTGGCCACAGCCAAGATTCCCCGCAGAGGAGCTGAGCTGGGCAGCTCTTTGCCTCGGTGGCAGAGAATCTTCCTGTTGATGGGCACGCCGTGGCTGAACCACGACGTGCCCACGATCGCATGCAACCCTGATTGGGCCGCTGTGATGCGAGGTACGTGTGCGCAGGCATGCGCTAGGTTCACGTTCGATGAACCTGGCCTACCCAACAAGGCGTGGAAGGCGTGTTGCCACGCCTTGTTGGCCGTTTCACGCGCATAGCATGCACAGTTCCGAACGTTCTCGACTCAGGTGAATTCGCCTTTGTGAATGCTTCGATTTGGTATATTTAAAAACAAATTTCATTTTTGTCATAACATAAACGCCGGCGCTTATAAATTTACTATATTATAAGCCCACCCCCTAAAAAAAACACGTTTTATTAGTGCCCCCCATGGGGGTATATCCGGGGTATGACGGTACTTGTGTTGTTGTTGTGTAGGCTACAGTGGGTTAGCCTTTAGGGGGTACACAATTCTAGGGTTTTCATACTTGTACTCCAACTTTCTCATAGTCAAATCACTTCGTGTTTCTGACATGGTATCAGAGCTTAGGTCCTAGTCCTAGGACCGATTACCTAAGGGCCCACCGCCATAAGCGCCCTCGTGCGCCTCGCTTAGTGCGCCCTCGTGCGCCTCGCTTCCTCCTCGTGCCCGCGCGCAGCTCGCTAGTGCCGCGCGCGGCCTTTTTTTTTTTTTTTTTTTTTTTTTTTTTCGCGCGCGTCACTCTCTAGCGGCCCGCGCGCGGCCTATTCTCTAGAGCGCGACGGCCCCTAACCGCCCACGCGCCCGGCGCCGCCCGCGAGCAGCCCCTAGCCGCCCGTCGACAGCCCCCTCAGGGGGTCACAGCCCTGCCCCTAGGCCGCCGCGACGCCCCACTAGGCAGCCGCCCGCGCGCTAGTCCGGCCTGCGCACAGACACGGCCCGCCAGCTACAGCCGCCCGCGCCCCCCCCCCCCCCCCCCCCCCCCCCCCCCCCCCCCCCCCCCGTCGCGCACCGCCGCGTAGCCCAGCCCGAGCCGAGCCGCGCCGCCCGAACCAAACCGCGCCGCCCGAACCGAGCCGCGCCGCCCGAACCGAGCCGCGCCGTCCTAGCCGAGCCGCGCCGCCCTACTGTGCCCCACCTGCAGCACCTGCTACTATTCCTACTACTGCTACTGCTGCTCCTGTTCCTCCTACTGCTACTGCCACTATGGCCAGTCCTACTGTACTTACCTTTGACGCTGAGGGCCGTCCGATTAAGTTCGATGTTTGGCTCGATGACCTTCACCTCTACCTTCAGATCACCGCCAAGGACGATATTTCTCTTTATGACCACACGTCCGGCGCCGCTCCCGCTCCTGCTGCCGATGCTGATAGCACCTTGCGCTCGCAGTGGCAGACCCGTGACGCTCATGCTCGCCTAGCCGTTCGCAGCCACCTGCCGTTAGATGAGCGCGAGCATTTTGGCCAGCATAA